CGTTCTTTCACAAATGGAGTTAATTTTCGGCTAGCAAGAGAGTGCAGTAGAAAGCAGCTTACCGGGACAAATTCAGATTGCTAGCTCCCAAAATGTCTTATGCTCCCCATCAGGTTGTCTCCCGCATGCCCCCAATGCGGGCTGGGAGCCTGCAACCCAGGCATGTGCCCTTGACCGGAACAGAACCCGGGACCCTTCAGTCTGCAGGCCAACGCTCTATCCACTGAGCCAAACCGGCTAGGTTCTGGTGGCACTTTTAAAAAATAACTTTATTGAAAACATTTATATATCATAACATTTACCTGTTTTATGTGTAATATTAAATTATGCTTAGTCAACTTACAGATATGTGTAATACATTTTAGAATTTCCCCTTCAGCGCCCTAATTCTCTAGTGCCTGTTTTCAGCCACTTGCTGTCTCTACAGCTTTACCTTTTCTGGACTTTGCACAGGCATCCTACATTCATCTCAAGGCATAAATGATCTTTTGCATCTGACTTCCTTCTCTTAGAGGCACGTTTGCAAGGTCGTAGCGTGTATCAGCATTTCATTCATGTTTGTTGCTGAATAATCTCATTGTATGGGTACCATTGTCTATCACCCATTGATGGGCATTTTGGTTGTTTCTACACTTTAGGGTTTATTTTTTTATTTTGGAGAGGAAAGGAGAGGGATAGAGAGAGAGAAACATCAATGATGAGCGAGAATCATTGATCGGCTGCCTCCTGCACGCCCCCTACTGGGGACTAAGCCTGCAACCCGGGCATGTGCCCTGACTGGGAACCAAACCCCAACCTCCTGATTCATAAGTCAACGCTCAACCACTGAGCCACGCCAGCCGGCTCACTTTCTTTCTTTTTTTTCTTTATATATTTTATTGATTTTTTACAGAGAGGAAGGGAGACACTATTACAGGTGTCCCCCATTCCTCCCCCTTTACCCACCTCCACTCAGCCCCCACCCCCGCCTCTGGCCATCACCCCACTGCTGTCTGTGTCCATTGGTTGCACATATATGTTCTTCGGCTACTCTCTTCACCTTTCATCCAGTACCCCCCGTCCAAAAGCTTTAATTAAACCGGTTCTGGCTGGGCTTTTTTCTTCTTTTATTGTTTGAAGTGCAAAAGTTTTTAAAAAGCTTTTATTGTTGACACTATTACAGGTGTCCCCCATTCCTCCCCCTTTACCCACCTCCACTCAGCCCCCACCCCCGCCTCTGGCCATCACCCCACTGTTGTCTGTGTCCATTGGTTGCACATATATGTTCTTCGGCTACTCTCTTCACCTTTCATCCAGTACCCCCCGTCCAAAAGCTTTCATTTTTATTAACTCCTATTTAACTTTTTTCTTCTTTTATTGTTTGTGCTTTCGGTGTCATCTGTAAGAATTGTTTGCTTAAACCCGTGTCACAACCATTTAGTCCTGTTCCCTCTAGTGTGAGTCTTCCAACCATCCGTGCATTTCCTCTAAGTTGTCTAAATTGTTGGCAGACAGGCCTGGGCCTGCCCTGTGGACTTTTCTAAAAGTCTCTCAAAGGTTCAAAAAACCCCGAACCAGCAGCGTCTGGCCTCAGCCTGCCTGTACCTCCTGCTAAGCATCCCCACGCCCAGCACCGGTCACGGCACAGCCTCCCCCAGCTCAGGCAGCTGCCCCACAGAGCTCTCTGCAGCTCTTACCAAGGGCCCCGGGCGGGCACGGGCAGCGGCTGACCCCGGCCTGCTCCCAGAGGCCCCAGAACCAACTCTCGGTGCAGGCGACAGCGGGAAGAACCTTAAAGATGGTGTGTGAATAACGCCAGGCAGGAGCGTGTTTATCTGATCGCGTTCAGACACTGCGCTGCAGGGGGAATCTGTGGGGGAAGCCGGTTAGGTTAGCGGTCGCCTGGGGCGGGGGCGAGGGGCAGTGGGGGGGTATTTGTTGCGCAGGGGCAGGAGGGAACTTGTGCATCTGGCTGGGCTGGGGCGGTGGTTACACACGTGTACACATTGTTAAATACTCATCAACCTCCGGACTAAAATGCAACGTTTTATCGGCTATAAATGATCCCTCAGATAAGTGTGTATGTTAACAGTTTTTAAAAGGAACCATGGAATAGTATTTTCAAAACTGAAAGGAATTTCTTTCCAGCTCCCACCCCCCCTGCTGGACGGGACGGGGGGGGGGGGGGGGCGGTAGCGGCCGTCCTCCTGCTCATGCCCCTGGGGTCATGTCGGTCTCCAAGGAAAGGGGGGGCTCAGTGGAAAGAGGCCTGGGGAGGCTGGGCATCTGGGAGCCGGGGGCCCTGGGAGGCTCTCCTGGCGGAGCCGGGCCAGTGTCCCCAGCACAGCCAGACAGAGGAGGGCTCGGAGGCAGGAGCAGCTAGCAGCGGTTCTCAACCTGTGGGTCGCGACCCCTTTGAGGGGCGAACGACCCTTTCACAGGGGTCGCCTAAACACATCCTGCATATCAGATATTTACATTACGATTCATAACAGTAGCAAAATTACAGTTATGAAGTAGCAACGAAAATAATTTTATGGTTGGGCCACAACATGAGGAGCTGTATTAAAGGGTCGCGGCATTAGGAAGGTTGAGAACCACTGAGCTAGAGTGACCGGGTTTCCACCCTGTTTTCCAGGAAAACCTACGTGCTGCTCGCTTCGACATCTGGCCTTTCTCCTGGTCACGCTCGTCCTCGTCCTCTTTGGGTAAGAAGCGTGTGTGACCCTCTGGGTCTGCCGGGCTTGGGAGAAGCAGCAGCAGGAGCCGATCGGATCCCAGCGGGGTGCCCTGAGCTGTCTCCGCCCCCCCCCCCAATCCTGCCGCCCTGGGATCACAACTGTAGTGACGGGACTGGTGACAGCCGCCTCACGGCCCACCGCCCGGCTGCACACTCCCTCCTACTGAGGCCTCACCTTGTGGGTGAGCTGTGCTCCCCCCACGTCACTAGTGGGGAGTCGGGCGAGGCCAGGACCCCTCCGCTGTGTGGCTGTGAGTGCGGAAACCGCGCTGTCAGCCGCTCCCAGATGGAGAAGGTCCTGGAACGGGGAGTGAGGTCGCGGGCCGCTCTCCTGGGGCAGGGCCCTGCCAGGAACCCGTCCGGGGGCAGCCTCGGACCAGCCGGCCACACACGGACCCGCTCCAGCCACGCAGGGGCTCGCATGGGGGCACTGGCCGCAGGGACTGCCCCTCCTTGGGACCGGTCACCTGAGCTTTGGGGAGACTGGCCCCTGGCCCTGCCCAAGGGCAGCTGCTCTAGGGAGCTCGGGGTCATGACCTGGCTCACCTCCTGCTTTGCCTGGGGAAGGTGGACAGGCCGTCCCAGGACCAGCTCCTCA